TGATTTATATGTGTTTATAGTGCTTAGGCCTAATATGGTGGATTACATTTTTATAGATGCTATTATAATACTTGAATCATTACATTTGATAGTAGGAATGTAGAATCATTCATAATTCAGGGGTTTTAAGCATCTATTATTTACAGCATATTGGTTAGCTTGGGAAGCTATAACAAAATAGCATCAACTGGGTGCTTAAACAACAGAAATTTATTTTCTCATAGTTAAGGAGGCTGAAATTCTGAAATCAAGAGAGCAACACGGTCCAATTCTGGCGAGACCTGTCTTCCTCTCTTGCAGATAATCACCTTCTCACTGTATCCTCAAATGGTGAGGAGGGAGAGAGCAAATTCTTTGGTGTGTCCTCTTGTAAGGGGATCATCCAACAGACCAGAGACCTCCCCTTATGACCTCTAATCTTGATTACGTCCTAAGGGGGCCATCTCTAAATACCATCACACTGGGGAGTAGAGCTTCAACATATGAATTTTAAGGGAACACAAATATTCAGTTCATAGCATAGATCAACACGAGACTCAAAAATGTGGTGACATGGAAAAATGAGAAAAAAATTTTAGATACTTACAAACTTTAGAACCAAAAATTTATACCATGTGTGCCTCCCTATTTTGTGACTCTAAAATCTGCACTTCCAGAAATTTACCTAGAGACATATTCAGACTTCACACACCTAAAAATGGAAGAACAGAGTTATATATAAGAAGCACCATCTGCTTCATCAAGTAACTTAATATTTTGAAACTGAATCATCTCCAAATTATGATTAAAATTCAGTGCAGAAAATGGAATGACTAAACAGCTCAATATTTAAATAAAATTTGGACAATTACTTATTCTATCTCATCATCCTCATCTGTAAAATGAGGAGCATACATACCCTACCTATGGTAGAGAATTGATATTAGTCTTAAGGGAGTTGTTATAGTTGAAAAGGCTTGCCTGAATAAGTGAATGTTATTATGGTCTGATTTTGCAAATATTTATTTAGCTGTATGTGTCTGACATCCTGCCATGTTCAAGAAATGCAAAATTAAGTAAGGCATGAGTCTCTACATTAAGAAGCTCACCATACGGTGGCAAAGACAAATCCATGAATTACTCTGAACAACTAATTAGGGTACAATGTAACAAATGTTATAATAAAGCTCTGTATAGGATACTAAGGAAAAACCACACACTGAGAATTTTAATATGGGGCTGGGGAACTCGTCATTTGGCATGAAAATCTGACTAATCATTTGCTCAGGACTTTCACCTGGCTCTTAAATTTCTTGCCAAGATTCTTTTTGTGTAGCCTGGATTAGCTGCATTCATTTTGAAGCTCTACTATATGATGCAATTAATATTTAAGATTGTTACATCATCTTGATAAATTGACTCCTTTATCATTAGCTTTCTTTATCCCTGGCAATGTTCTTTGCTACTTTGATATAGTCAGTCTTATAGCTTTCTGTGGAATTGTGTTATATGGTATATACTTTTCAATCCTTTCACTTCTAACCACTTCTTATTTTTATATTTAAAGTGGGTTTTCTTGTGGGCAGTATATAGTTGAATCTTGCTTTATAATTCAATGTAACATTCTCTATCTTTTAAGCGGCGTGTTTAGATAATTTATAATTAATGTAGTTAGTGATACGGTTGAGTTAAAATCTACAATCATGCTATTTGTTTTCTTTTTGTTTCATCTATTCTTTGTTCATTTTATACTCGTTTTATTCCTTTTTTGGATTGAATGTTTTTAATAATTTTATCTATTTGTTGGCTTATTAGGTATAATTCTTTGCTATGGTTACTTTGGGGTTTTTATTATACATTTTCATTGTACATTTTAACTTTTTACAGTATCCCTTCAAGAGACATTATACTTATTCACCATAATAAGAATATAACAAAATTATACTTCTGTTTCTCCTCTCCTAGCCTTTGTGCTATGATTGTCATGTTTTATTTCTATATATGTTATAAACCCCACAGTTCATCATTATTATTTAAAGCAAAAATAAATACAATACATTGTTAACAATACATTGTTACTTTTGCTTTAGAAAGTGGATTATTTTTTTTTTAAATTTAAATAACAAGAAAATAATTTTTATATTTACCCATGTACCAATAATTTCTGGTGCTCTTCATCCCTTTATGTAGATCTATGCTTCTATCTGATGTCATAAGGACTTCATTTCAAATTCCTTATAGTATAGATCTGCCGGTGATAAGTTCTTTCAGCTTTTATATTTCTAAAAAAGTCTTTATTTTGCCTTCATTTTTGAAAGATATTTTCCCTGGATAAAAAAATTATAGGTTAATAGTATTTTTTTTTCTTCAGTACTCTAAAGATTTTGCTCCACTGTCTTCTAGCTTACAATGTTTCCAAAGAGAAATCTAATAGTATTCTTATCTTTGTTCCTCTTTTTCTCTGGCTGCTTTTGTGATTTTCTATCAGTTGATTGAAACAATTTGATTGTGCTGTGCTAGGCGTAGATTTCTTCATGTTTCTTGTGCTTGAGATCTGTTGAGAGTTCTGGATATATGTGTTTATAGTTTTCATCAATTATGAAGTATTGACCATTACTTCTTCAAATAATTTTTAGCTTCATCACCACTCATTTGAGGTGAAGCTAAAAAATACACATGTATTTGGTTTCTTGAATTTGTCCCATAGTTCAATGATTCTCTGTTTATTTTGTTCAGTCATCTTTCTTCTCTCTCCCTCTGCTGTATCTTCAAGTCCATTAATCTTCTTCAATGTCTTCTGCAATGTTAATTCTGCTAGTAATCCCATCCCATGTACTTGTTGTCTAAGATGTGGTAATTTTCATCTCTAGATCTTCAACTTGGGTCTTCTTTTTATATCTTCTATATCTCTACTTAACATATTTAATCTTTCTTCCAGTTTCTTGAATATATGGAATACCATCATAACTGTTCAAATGTCTTTGTTGATTAATTCTATCACCTGTGTCATTTCTGGGATTTTGGTTGATTGATTTTTCTCCTCATTATGGGTCATATTTTCCTGTTTCTTTGTATGCCTGATAACTTCTGATTGAATGTCAAAAGTTGTGAATTTGACCACATTGGCTGCTGGGTATTTTTGATTCCTGTAAATATTGTTGAGCTTTATCCTGGATGCAGTTAAATTACTTGGAAACAATGTGATCCTTCAAGTGTTGCTTTGAAGTTGTGCTGGGCTGGACTGAAGCTGCCTTTAGCCTGAGGTCAATTTTTCCCCACTACTGAGGCAACATCCTTCATAGTTCTCTAATTCTGTCTGAATTGTCAGTTTTTCCACTAGGGTTTTACGGAACAGGCACTTTTCTCAGACCTGTGTGAAGTCTGAGGACTATTCCTCTAATCCTTTCAGGTGATTCTTTCCCTGGTCCTGGGTAGTTTCCTCATGTGCACGCACTGGTTGACACTCAACTGCATATCTACGGAGGACCCTCTCTCTTCAACTCTCTGGGGTTTCTACTCTGTGCAGCTCTCTTCTTGCTGGTACTCCACATTGTAAACTCTAGCCATCTCTGTTTCCCTGGATTCTGAGCTCTGTCTCGTCAACTTGGCAAAACAGTTGGGCTCTGCCTGGGTTCTTTATCCCTGTGCTGATGGAAAAATTTCCCATATCGTAGAAAAATTTCTGGGCAATCATCTAGTTCATCTCATTTCTTTCCCATATCTCAGTGATCCTTCGTTGCCTGACATCCAATGTCTTGAGCACTATTACTTCACAGATTTTTTTTCAGTTGTCTCAGGTAGGAGGGTAAAATCTAGTTGCTATTACTCTGTATTAATCAGAAATGTAAGTCCTTATAGAATACATTGTAATCACTTCAATACAAAAGTCACCATGCCAAGCCTTAGCATGGAATTATAAGACCGAAAACTTGACTTTATTATACTGACCAAAGAATGTAAAATACCAAAAGGAAAAAGAAGTTAGCCTTCTTTCTCATCCTCTAAGCTTGTCCTACTGAGCAGCTGAGGGCCATCAACAAGTCTAAATGAAAAACTGATATTATAATTTCCTAAGAGCTGTGAATGAAAGTGCTATGCAGTGTTGTTAAGGATTATCATTCTAGTCTTGGGAGAATAGCCAGGGACAACTTGTGTCCCTTTGTACCCCGAGAAGGACATATGGGAAAGAGTCCCACAGAGATACTGTGTCCAGCTACTACATGGACAGGGATGAAGCCCCTTTGGCCAGTTGGACTAGGCTAAGCAGCTTCTAAAACTCCACCCTATTTTAATTTTTTTATCTTTAATGTAGGGACAAAGTCTACTAACTTTCTAACCACAAAGGCTTTTCAGTTTCTGGTTCTTGTTTAATTAACACCTTGCAAATTAGAGCTTCAGTTTGGAAAGTATTTTAAGCTTCTTGGGTACAATAGGGTATAGTTCCAGAACATTCTTAATCATATGTGAGTGGACCAGGTAGAACATTTGAAATCAACCATATGCTTTCATGAATATTCCTCAATCACAGCCACTATCCCAAGAACCTGATGCCTTCCTTACTTTATATATGTTTGACACTTGAGATAAGCTCTAAAGTTACTTTAAGCACCAACATTCTATTTTCCTCAGATATTTGCTAGTCTAATCAACTTATGAGGAATTGAAATATAAAGAAGTGACATTTAAAAGAAACTGAGTGTAGAAAGAACATTGGATTTAAGAATCAGAAAGTTTTTTTGAGACAAAAATCTGTATATCTGACAGGTAATCTTGGGGCTTAACTTCTCGAGGTTTCACTATCTCTATTTTTTGGGTGAATACATCATCAGTCCAGACTCACCTGTGATGTGAGAGTAAGTTAAATAAACATGAAAGAACTTTTGAAGCATAAATTGCAATTTTCCAAGGCCACCAAAGACGTTTCTAAAAGAACTCAAAGAAATATATATTGAGGATTCTAAACACCAGAAACATCCAAACAACATAAATATTTCAACTCAATTGTTTTTATGATTGCCCATGTAAAAAAAAAAAAATCACATAAAGGTAACAATTGAAGGTGATTGCCGTATTGTGTGGTACGAAGTTCTGTGAGGTCACTGTGGCCAAATACGTACCACAGAGCAGAAAATTACAGCAGCATCTTGTCAGTGATGTTCTGCCACAGTAACGTTCATGATGAGACAGTTCGTCGTCATTTCTCTATTAGGCCGGTTCTAAAGAATTAGCTGCTGTGGTGCAACTCTTTATCGTGTGATGAAACATTTTCTTGTGATCATTATTCACTTTCTGAACTTTCTAGGTGAATGATCTTCAGGGAACCCTCCGACTGAGGTTTTTCTACCCTTCGTCAGCCACTCTCTGCACTCACTTTTCCATCAAAGCAGAAATCTCTTAATTTTCAACTAGAAAGAGATTATGAAGCACATTTTGCATGCATTCTCCCGCCACCTCCATCCTCCTGACCAAGGAAAATTCGTTGGAAAGAAAAGATATGAGGATTCTCTCATGCAGTCATAATGATTGGTCTAAAGAAGAAAAAAATTGAAAATCGTAGATGTTTCGATTGCTTGCTCTTCAGCTTGTTCACGAGGGAGGGATTCTACACTAGGGTTAGGGGGCTGGCCACGCATATGACCCCCACTGCTGGAGAATGATGGCAGCCTGTTGTCCAAGGAAAGAAGATCCTGTGCCACCACAGCTGGACAGGGGTTGTCATCGGGAACAGAGTGAACAAGCGGGGGCTGTGCGGGGGCAGGCTTTATAGTAACAAGAGGTTGGAGGGACTCCTGGTTTCTCCAGGAGGACGTGATTGTTTGATTTGAATATTTCTGTAGCTGGCAGGGAACTGAAGCCTGCTACTCAGGGCTAAACAGGCCCTGTGCCTCGTCCATGTGATAAGGTGGGTTGTTTGGCTAGGGGACCTTATCGGAGGGACTGGAGTGGGTAAGGAGATGCAGTTAGGCCATTCGAGGACTTCCCAGTTTCCCAGGGCCGGGCAGCACAAAATCTTAATTGTAGGTCTGACGCCACTATAGAGATGACTGAGACACATTTACCCAGGTGGACAAAGAAGCTCCTAGCCTGTATCTGGCGAGTCATTGCTATAACCCATTACCTCTCACCCCCACTCTTAAGTCAAACAAGAAGTCCTTTCAAAACTAGAGATAAAATTAGGAATGTCGGAAGCATTGTTGGGGTTGTTCCAGCCTTACTCCCTTCTTTGGAAAAAGGTAGAAAGACCAGGACTCTGTGTGATGGCCTGGAGCCTGTGGTTGCCCCGTCTGCACGCAAGCATTCTTGTGACTGTTGAGACATTTGACTGACTCCCCAGGGACTCCCCATGGGCTGGCCCAGCTGCAGTTTCTGGAACAAGGAAACAGAGTCAATTGGCCTTGTCAGCCACTGTAAGCCGTAACTTAGAAAAATAGAAGCCCAGTAGTGAGCACACTTAACAAAAATACAAAGTCGGCAGTTAAATAAGGCATTTGTGACTGTTCACGGAAAAGAATTATAGGGAAATGTGTTGAGGATAGTTTTAGAAATACACATGAAAGGAGGTATTCGATACACTATATTATAATAAAATTAGTAATGTAATATCTGCGGTATTTACACACTCTGAATGAACTTAAAACGCTGTAATTAAATGAAAATCTTTTTCCTGTGCACAAGAACAATGATATTGCCTTATTTTTTTTTAAAAATTTTTAAATGTTAAATGATGGCATTTCAAATATACAGCCAAGCCCTGAAAATATTAGCAGATACTCATGGACTGACCTCCCATATTAACAGATGTGAATATTTTGCTTTATTTGCTTCAGAATCAATTATCTCTCTTTTTAAGAAAGAAAACATTAAGTGCAGACCAGAGCACCCTCATTCTCTCCTTACCTCTCTCCCTAGGGGCAACCGTGATCCTGACCACTTACATATGTTTAAATTTTTATTATATAGATATATCCATAAATGATATATACTATATTTTGTATGCATTAAATATTTATATAAACATTAGAAACCATATGGTACATTTCTTTTTGTAACTTACTGTTCTTATCAACATGCTTTGACATTTATTCATATTGGTATATATAGATCTAGTTTGTTCATTTTACCTTTCATTCATAAATCAGTTTATTTACTCATTGGCCTACTGTGATATTGTGATTTATAATAAGAAATATAATTAATTTGCTGTGTTCTGGTAAGGACTAAGATAGCTGAAATTTAGACTGGAGAGAAGAAATATTATTTAAATGTAAAAAGAGCAATTTAGTTTTCCTTGTGCCTTGTAGAATTATATACCACTCATTCAAATTTCCTTGTTTCAAAACCGTCTTAAGGTGAGGCAGAACTGTCAATTGTCCCTGACATTCATTTTCGTCTTTTTTCTTTAATAATGGATCCCACGTTTTTTCCTGGGCTCATAGCCTCTTGGAATAAGGTTGTGTAGCTAGGTATGGTGAGGAGACTAACTTCTACTAAAGTAGAAGACAAATTTTCTCAGAAGTTTTCTTCAAGTGGGGAAGTGAACTCTTCTTTGTTCTCTTTTGCACTGGCTGGAATGCAGACACAGTGGCTGGAGCTTAAGTAACCATCTTAGGCCATGAGGTGATAGCACATGCTGAGGATGGCAGAGCAACAAAACAGAAGAATTCTGGTTCCCTAATACTGTAGAACAGGGGTCAACAAAATGTTTCTGTAAAGGGAAAGATGATAAATATCTCCAGCTTGGCAGACTATGTGGTCTCTGTCCCAACTAGTCAACAATGTCATGTTAGAGGGGAAATAGCCACAGATAATATGCAATGAATGAGTTCCAATACGTTCCAATATGTGTTCCAATAAACTTTTGTTTATGGACAGTGAAGTGGAATCTCTTATCATTTTCATATGTCATGAAATCTTATACTTCTTTTGATTTATTTTCAACCATTAAAAAATATAAAGCAATTCTTAGCTCACGGGCTTACAAAACGGGCAGCAGGTCAGTTTTCATGCAAAGCCTGGTTTGCCAGCCTCTGCTAGAGCACCTTGTGGTCTCAGACTGCTTATCTTGAGTCTTTGTTTACAGGAAAGAGGGTTTTTTTTGTTTTTTAAGATTTAGTTGAGAGAGTGTGTGTGCCCTGGCGGGGAGGAGCAGAGGGAGAGGGAAGAGAGAGAATCTCAAGCAGACTCCCTGCTGAGCCTGGAGCCCAACATGGGGCTCGATCCACGACCCTGAGATCACGACCCTGAGATCATGACGAGAGCCGAAATCAAGGGTCAGACGCTTAACCAACTGAGCCACCCAGGTGCCCCAGGAGAGAGACACTCTTGTTGTTTCTGGGAGATGGGGTTTGCTGTGATTCAGCAGAGCTAAATCCTGATAACAAGTAGATGCCGCAGCCCCTGAGGTTCTCCCCCCACACACGACCCATAGCAGTCCTGCACCTGTTCCCCTCAGGACTTCCACTGACTCACCTTTGCTTCCTGTCCCATTTCCCCTACATTTCATGGACTCCCCACAGACACACTTCCTTTATAATCACTTGTACAGGGACCTGTGTTGGGCTCTGCTTTTGGCAATCCAGCCTTCGCGGTGGTAGCTATCATGGCTCAAGGAGTCCTTTCTTCAGGCTTTAATACAACAGCAGAAGCAGCAGGCTGCTCCTTTATAGAACCTAAACCGCGGTGTTCTAAGCAGGGCTCGTTCCTAGTGCAGCGAAATGGCTGAGAGCTGGGGATCTGGAGTCGCCCTGCTTGCACGGAAATCCAAGTTAGCTTCTCTGAGCACCGACATTCCTTACCTGTAGAATGGAGCTAATATCACATCCCGCTTAGCACACAAGGAATACCCTATACAAGCTAGTTATTATTGTCAATATTAGCACATTGTCCGAGCGACACAACCACTGCTACTTGTGAATTTCAACACAGCGTCTTCTTTGCAAATGATAGAAGAGCAAGTGGGAAGTGGTCTGTGGGAAGCTGACAAACTACCAGATGAGGGTTCTTTGTAGGGCAAAGTTGAAGATCAGGACTTCTAAGTACAGTACAAATATAAAGTAAGGGACATAAAACTTCAGCGACAAGTAAGGCAAATAGCTGGGCTCTGAAACCAGGCCCCCCGGGGCCATAATCCCCAACTGGCCATTCACTGATTCACTCGGGTGTTACGAATTTATGCAACAGGGCTGCCAATGCTTATCTCCTAAGGTGATTGGTCCCGTTAAACAAAACTGTGCACATAAAGCCCCTAGCTACTCCCTATGCAGAACTTTCTATGTACCAGGCACTGTGCTGCTATTATCCACAACCTGACTTCACAGATGAGGAGCAGAGAGATGCCAAACTTTGCTCGGGCACCTTGGCCCTGATGACAGATGTGGCAGTGGGGCTGGTTCCCAGAAAATCTTTTAGGGGTAGTTACTGGTTCTTTCCTTGGCCATGGAATCCCACCTTCTTGGGTCAGTATGCTTGAAACCAGCACCCACCCGCACCCCAACCCAGCAACCACCACCGGGGAACACGAGGGAAATAAAAGGCCCCGTTGCTGTTGAGAGCAGGGGGAGCGCAGGTCCTCTGACACTCTTTGCTCTGCTTGATCCCAGCAAGTCTGCATGGCAACCAGCACCAGCCACGCAGCGGGTCGTAGGTGTCCCTGCACAGCGGCTTGGAAGCTGCCAGTGTTTGTGCTGGTGGAGACCGTGCTTGCCATAGCACAGAGCCCCTGTGCGGACAAGGCGGACCGCCAGAACACAAAGGGAACACAGAAGCCTTCTGTACGGCCATGAAACTCACCAAGGAGCCTTTCTGCTCTGCCTGGGGAGGGAGGAGAAAGAAAAAAGGAGAAACCACACGCTCCAAGGGATTCAATCAATATTTGCAGTCTGCCTGACTCACCAGCTTGGTCCGACCAAATAAGAACTACCCTTATTTAAGTATTTAATAAATGATCAATAGCAGGATTGTATTTCCACGAGCTAGAGGGTTCTAATTTAGTGGCACAGATTTTTTTTTTTTAATTCAAACTTTTTTTTTTTTTTTTTGCCACATTCAGCAATTGCTATCAGATGCTGAATGTCTGTGGTCACACACTCAGCTTCCTGTTTATAAACGCGCTCTGTTTTCAGTGAGTCAGCAGTTTCTTGTTCTGCAGAGAGGTATAACTGGCCATGTCAGGCCAAGGAGGTGGAAAGAGCTTTGTGAAGGGTCCAGGCTGCATGGGCCTCTGTGCATCAGGCCTCACGGTTTGTGTGTTTGTGGCCAAACACAGGTTAAAGTTATTCTGCCCAGTGAGTTTGGTAGCTTCTTATCTGGTTTCAAGCTGAACTGTTGTCAGAGATAAACAAAACCAGACACTAGTTAAAGTGATGAGGACAGATTTTAACGAGCACTCACTCCTGCAGGAGGGAAGAGAGTCTAGTGTGACCTCAGCTTGACTTGATGTATACAGAGGTGACTGGGCTTTTTAGGGAGAGAATGGGGGATAGGGAGGGGTGAGGCGGGCTGAAGGGAACTGAAAACTTACAAAGGGTTGGTCAGTGTAAATGGGATTAGGTCAGCTGGTCTGTTAGCTTGCAGTGATCAAAGTTAGGAGTCTGCCCTCCCACCGGGACTGGGAGGCAGAGACCGTATCCATCCTGATGATCACACTTCAAGGAAAGCCTTTTAGGCCCTTGAGAAGATACTCCTAAGTTGTGTGAGATACATGTCTACCTCAAAGGGACAGTGGGAGGATTTACAAGGGCGAGCCCTTCTGAGGAAACGCTCCGAGACAGGGTGGTCAGGTTTCGGCTGGAACAAATGGTCAATGCCCCTGTCAGCCTTGAGTTTTCTCTTTGGCGAGCACTTGAAGGAGACTGAGGTCATCCCAGGGATGTGGACTTGAGCTGTTAGAAACTGAGTTAGTGTCTGTTCAAGTCTTTAGAGGCCAAGGCTGAGACCCACTTGAGAAGAGGGCTCATAGGAGCCTACCTAGAGTTTGGCCAAGGAGCGAATCTTTGTCACCGTGAAGCAGGTCAATGTCTGTCTTTAGACTCATTCACTTCCTCCGGTGCGGCAAATCCTCCGCCTAATAACCGGACCACCTGTCACCCTCAGTGCCTCCCAGCCACTAGCTGGGCTGGAATTGCAAATGCCTAATCTCCTTCCGGGGCATCTGAGCTCTGGACTGTTTGCTCCCCCTCCCCCTCCAGCCGTAGCCCACGTTGCTCTGTCGGCCTGGGTGGGGCTCTTGTTACTTTCCCTTTACACAGCCCTGCTAGTAAGCCGACTGTGGCCGCTTCCTGAGTTCAGTTTATCATCCTCGTCCCTGGAAAAGCCTTCCCTGATCACTGAGAGCCGGCTGGGGCACTCCCACGCTGTGTGCTCCCCTCCACAACATTTATCACCCTGGAGCGTGGTGCCTGCTTGAGGTCCTTTTCCCCAAACCCTAAGCCATAGGAGGGCAGGAACCATGCTCCATTTATCCGTGCTTTCCCGGCACTCAGCTACAGTAGGTGCTTAATGAGTGCTTGCTGAGCATGTGAATGGATGGTAGCTGTCCCTTGCTGTGTCCTCGTAGCACCTTGTTCTCAATGGGGTTCGAAGCCCAGCTTCCCAGCTTCTGTGCTGTGGGAACTTGGGCGAGCTGCTAACCTCTCTGCACCCAAGTCTTCGGGTCTGTAAAAAGGATGCATGACAGCATCCGCCCCACAGGGCTGAGAACAGAGCCGGGCACATAGTGAGGCTCAGGAAGTACCACTACTACTTTTGTTTGTTCTAGGATGCACTTAGATACTCTCTGCCAGTGAGCTGTTGGATGAATGACAAAGAATCCAAAAATGTCCAGCATCTCAGCTGACCCCTAGTCCTTGCTTCCTCTGCCCTCTGGGCAACATTTCAACATTTTCCATTACTGCTTTTGTTTTCTAACTTAGCAGGACACAGTACCCCCCCCCCCTTGGCCCTACTGACTCGTGTTCTAACTTGAAACAGATGCTGCGTGGTGATAGAAGGTGAAGGACACAGCTTGTATCTGGTCCGGACACTCTGCTTGGAGCCCCAGGAGCTCCTGTCCCTCTTCCCTATGTTCATGTCTCTGCTTCTTCCAAAATTGTCTGGACTCAGTTCGGCCTTTCCTCACCTACCACACATTCCTCCACCTGTTCCAGTCTGGAGTCACACACACACACACACACACACTCCAACAAAGCAACAGTGGCCAAAACCACCAACGGCTCCGTGTCAGCCAGCCGACCTGGGATCTTTTTAGCCTACGGTAGACCATCAGAGGTGGTTGCCACACCTTGCCTCTCAAAATATTCTCCATCCTTGGCTTCTATGTCCCAAGTTTCTTCTGTTTCCCCCCTGCCTCTTCTGTCTTCTCTGCAGTTTTGGCCTTTCTTACCCACCCAGTAGGTTCTCTCCTAGGACATCCCGCTCATGCCCAAGGCTTCAAATACCACCCGTAGGCACATGAACCATAAGCACCCTCCTGCCTCTTTATGCCTTGAGCATATCTCACTTCTAAGTCTCTGTTCAAATGTCACCTTATCAGAGAGAACTCCCCTGACCACTGGAACTAAAAGAGCTCCACACCCCTCCTCACCCTTTTACCCACTTACTCTGCTTTAATTTTCTTCTTAGCACATGGTACCACCCAGGAAATTCTGTATTTGTTTGTTATCTATTCACCCTTACTAGTGAGAAGCTCTGCTGGACTTTGTGGCAGGTATTATTCTAGGCACTAGGACAGAGCATTGAATAAAACATACTAAGGTCTTAGTGAATATTTGATAAAAGGTGTGGGTGGAATTTAGGTTTCTAGCTACCATTCTCTTCTGAGCTCCAAAGTAATATAATCAGCTAGCTGCCTTGACAGCTCCTCTGGATGTCCCAAAAGCATCTCAAACTCAATCTCTCTGGACCAGTGGGGTCCACTAGAACGTTCTATGATGAAGGAACTATTCTATCTCTGCATGGTCCAATATGGTAGTCAATAGCCACACGTGACTATGGAACTCTTGAGATGTGGCACTTGCAATGGAGGAGCCGAAGTTCTAATTCTCTTTAAATTAAATTAAGTTTAATTTAAATAGCCACACGTGGCCTAGGAGCTACCTGTGGGGCAGTCTAATTCTGGACTAAGCTGATGATCCTCCTCCCAAAACCTGGTCCAGAAGCCTCTATCTTATCAAATGGCACCACCATCCACCCACATAAGAAAGCAGAAAGGCAAAAGTCATTCTTGACTAGCTCCCTTTCCTATACCAACCAGAGCTGATCCTTCACGAAGTCTTATTTATTTTATATTTATATTTATTTTTTATATATTTATATTTATTTATATATATTTATTTATTATTTGTATTTAAATTTTTATATCATTTTATTTTTTTATTTATATTTTTTGCTTCCCAGATTTATATTTTTTAATCTGTCCATTTTTTTTCCCATCACTACTGCCACCCGAGAGGAAAATACATAATCTCTTACTGTGACTATTTCATTTCTTATCTTGAGTAAAGGCTTTAACTGATTTGCCCATCCCACTTTCCCTTTCTCCAATCCATTCTCCATAGTCTACAAGAGTGACTCCAAATGCATACAGTGTACCCTGATCACATTACCACCACCTCTCTTCCCTCCCCTGCTGCTTTGGATGGCCTGCAAGTTCCTACAATGGTTTGAGTCTTGCCCATCTTCCCTGAAGAATGGGTTCTTTCTGGGCTCCAGTTGCAATGGCCTTATTTCCATCCTGCATTTGGGCCATTTTCCTTCCCACCATAGTGTCAGTCTTCCCTAATCACTAGACAAGGTCAAACCCCTATAACATGCTCCCATAACACCACGTACCACTCCTCAGCCCTTTTATACTCATTTAGTCATTAATTTTGTCTATCTTTCCCACTGGAAAGTAAGTCTGCTAGAGCAGAGACCTCTTACGTTTTGTTGACCACTTAGTAATATCTGTCTAATAGTGGAAGCTCCATGAACGTTGACGTGTAAATATGTAGCCAGACATTCTTTTGAGATAATATAAGTTCTCTGTTAGTATATGTTTTCCTGATGTCCCATAGAGTCAATGGGAGTAAATGCAGAACAAAAGAGTCAATTGGGTTTCTCAGTGAATGTTTTAAACTCATAGCAAACATGAGTGCTAAGGGTGCTTGAAAAGACAGACACTTTCTGAATCTGAATATTCAAAATTTTCCTTAAATACCAAGGCCCAACTATTGCTGAATAACAAAATATCCCAAATTTAATGGCGTTAAATGATAATTATTTTATTATGTTCATTGGCTCTGTTATGGACTGAATTGTGTCCTCTTCAAAATTGATATGTTGAAGTTCTTATCCTCAGTATGTCAGAATACGACCGTATTTAGAGATAGGGTCTTTACAGAGGTAATTAAGTTAAAATGAGATCACTAGGGTGAGCCCTAATCCAATAGGACTGGTATCCTTATAGGAAGAGGGAATTTTGAACACAGACATGTATGGAGTGAAGACTTAGGGAGAAGATAGATGTCTATAAGCCAAAGAGCAAGGCCTAGAATATATCCTTCCCTCGTGACCCTCAGAAGAAATCAACCCTGCTGACACCTTGATCTCAGACAAGATCTGGAGGTTTCTGGCCTCCAGAACTGTGAGAAAATACATTTCTTTTGCTCAAGGCACTCAATCTGTGGTACTTTGTCATGGCAGACCTAGCAAACATACAGTTAGGAAGACTTGAACACCAGAGCACCTACACTGAACTTTCCATGTGGCTTGGCTCCAGGAACTCAGGCTTCTAACAGGGCAGCTCAGGACCTCAAGTGCATGTGGGCTTCTGTGAACAAGGCAAAATTTGTATCACCATTTATGACTTAGCTTGAGAAATTATCCAATGTCACTGTACTCTATTATAAAAACACATCCCTAACTCACCCAAATTCAAAGAGGGGAGAATTAGACTCCACCTGTTGATGAAGGAGGAGGAAGATCACGTAGAAGACGAGCACGTGAAATGAAAGATATTGGTGCCACCATTTTGGAAAATTAACTCTGTCACTGCCCAGAACCTGAGGGAAGAGGATGAAGGCATAAAACAATAGATTGAAAGAGACTAGACAGAGAGCAAGATTTCTGTCTTTCTGAGGGAGAAGTTTTTCATGGAGGGGAGAAGAGGTATAGAGGGAGCTATGCATGTGACTCCCTGAGAAAGGTGGTGAGAATTCTCCTCTCTTCTGAGGTAAAGCCCAGGCAGTGAAGTAAGAGAAAGAGACCCAGGACAGGAGGATGCCAGGGCAGAGAGGACCTGAGCCTTGCTGCTGGTCCTATAGAGAAGCTCTGACCACCTGAGTGGTAGAACTAGAAAGGCTGAATGAGGCATCGGGAATGTGGGCTGAGGGCAGCCATAAGCAATCCTGCCCACCCCACTTATAGAGAACAGACAGTTCTCTCAGGAAGTGTCTCCTGGAGTCCGGGGGTGTGGCTCTCTCCCAGTAGAACCAAAAACCTTAGCAATGGAGGCCAGTTCCTTGATAATTCTGAGTTTTTAGTGCCTAACTGTGAGTTTTACAGAGACAACACTATTCAGAGGTTTGCTCTGTTATTTTTAAATTAACATCTGATTTATTAAGTTTACAAATTTAAAAACCTGGTTCTACCCATAGCTTTTAAGTATAGCTTGTAAATAAAGTTTGCTAGTCTTGCAAATATTATTTGGGCAATTGCTTTTGGGTCCCTGCCAAGATACCCTGATTGGACAATTGCTTTGCTTAATATTTGGTTTCATTTACAAATATTCAAAAAATTCAAATATCTCCAGTGACGTTTATATTTGAATATGTTTAGTTCCATTTTATTTCCACTTCAAGGTTTTTAACTTCCCCAGAGAAATTGATTTGATTTATATGAATTACTTAAACTTCCGTATGGTGAGTCAAAGTTGGGTCGTAACTGTTCTAGGAGTATATGGAACAGTAAGATTTTTACTTAAAAATAACAAGTTAAAATCAATACTTAATTATACATCCCAAATTGGAGTTATAAGGCTGACCTATTATTCTAATAGGGCTAGTTCCCTTAAACATGATAAGCATATGGAATAGAAAATATTTTCAATTACCTTAATGTAAAATATCAACGTTATTGCTGAGAGTCTTTGAACAGTTTTATATGTAATTCCAAATCTTCTCAGTTCAACTGAGGAAACTGCTCTCTCACCCCCAACCCTATTTAGGGCTCACTTTCTCAGCTTGTATGTGGTCGCCTCAAACCAAACCAGGGTCCAGATGACCTGGCCAGCGGCATGAGCCCCTGGTGGGATGTATTTAGCTCTATTTATAGTTGCTATGTAGTGAACATCATTACTTCAAGGAGATGACCTCTACCCTCTTAAGGTCAAGTTATAAATATCCTAATTCTTCTATCTGCCCAAAGAGATTGACATTCTTACTCAGGATTATCACTTGATTGAAGTCCCTTAAAAAAAGACATGGGTGTCTTAAGAAGCAACGAAATGCAAAATCCAAAGAGGAAATAACATTCTCTCATATCTAGAAATTCTCTAGCCCTAAGATTTAAAAATGCTCTCAAGTTGAGTTTTATACAAGCCTCACAGCTTCTCTGATTAGTCATCTGGTCCTTGCAAGGCTATTCAGCTGACGCACAAGTGAGCTGTTCTGTGGAGCAAGCCCTGCCCCTGGACCTCTGCTAGGCTGTCTGTTCCGGAGCCTTTGTGTGAATTAGTAACACGTGTCCTTCTTTCACACTGAAGCTGCCCCACGAAGGGCTCTAATTTGGAGAGGTGAAGAATTTTTCCTCTGGATCCAGGCACCTTAGGAAGGGCAGATGGCACAACTGTCCATTGCAATCCTGCCTTGCCCCCCCGATTCCAGAACTGAAAATGAGACCCCTGGGCACTGGGCCACCCCTGCATAGAAGGACAGGGTAAAAGAGTGAGGGACCATCTTGCATTGACTGCTTACTCAAATAAGACTGAGAAAATCCAGAACTGCCAAGTTACCCTGACTGGGCAAGAATAAGATTTCTTCTATAGAGCAGAAGTTGGGACACAAAAGCCAGGTTCAATTACAGGGAAATAAAGCCCTTTTGGCACACTTACCTCTAAGGAAGATCGCTAGGTCACACCCTTCCTGGGCCTCGCTTTCCACATCCGTGAAGTGGGATGTTTTCTAGACCAGAGCTTCTCCAATGTTGTTCTACTGTCACCTGGGAATCCTGTTGAAATGTAGATTCTTTTCAATGGGGATGAGTCAGAGTCTGAGATTCTGCATTTCTAACAAGCTTCCGGATGTTGCTAAGGCTGCTGGCCCTCTGACTACACTTTGAGTAGCAAAAGAATGGAGACAATTCTAAGGCTTGTTATTTTATGGTTACAAATTATCCAGGGAGAACAATCACCTAACTGTCTCCTGCTAGGGACCAGCCTTGCAAAACCAGAGATAGCTTTTAAGTTAAGCTTCACATCTCAGAATGGAAAAGGAGAAATGTTTTATTTTTGAAAAATAATCCACCTCTCCCTTCCTCCTTGGACTCCCCCCGCCCCCTGCCCCCGCCCCTAATCCTGCCATTTTGGCTTTCTTATCAGTTGCATGAAATCTCTGGCAAAAAGAAAAAAAAAAAGGACAACGCTGCCAGAACCAAAGCGGAATGCATAAAAAGGCCTTAAGAAATATGTTTTGGGGAGGGCAAAAATATCTTTTTTGATAAACTTTAACTGAGTGATTATAGAGGATGGGTGTGGGGACTTTTGAGTATTTTAGGGAAAGCTGGGAAAATGATGAAATCTTAATGACACATGACATTAAACACTGAGACCACATATCCTGTTGACCAGTTCAGAAAATATGTTTTGACCCACAGTATTTAAAATACAGATCCTTGGGGCGCCTGGGTGGCTCAGTTGGTTAAGCTACTGCCTTGGGCTCAGGTCATGATCCTGGAGTCCGGGAATCGAGTCCCGCATCGGACTCCCTGCTCGGCAGGGAGTCTGCTTCTCCCTCTGATCCTCCCCCTCTCATGCTCTCTGTCTCCCATTCTCTCTCTCAGATAAATAAATAAAAAAAAAAAATTAAAAAAAAATAAAAAAATAAAATACAGATCCTTTCAGAAAATCCGTGGCGAAAGGTCCCGACAAAGTTAGTTTGATGGAAGTTGTCACTCGGCTTCCTCTGGGGATAGACCATATGTACTGTATATGTACACACGTACACATATATTCACGTACACACACAGACACTCATACTGTACGCCATACACACACATCTTTTTTAAACTGGCAAGGAACTAAAAAAAATAAATAAACAAACTAGCAAGGAACTAAACTAAACCAAAATTAAATAAATAAACTGGCAAGGAACTAAAAAGAATGACCAAGGAGTGTCCTTTAATAGAAGCTTCACTTCTTCCCAAAATTATTGTCTCTTCAGTTCCCTTCCTTCTGCCCACCCCAAGTGAGCCTGTGTGCGGCGACGTGCCCCGGGCTCCCTTCAGTACACCTCCTTTGGTTGGTGTTCCCTGTCAGACTCAGAGGCCCAGCCTCAGGGCCGCCAGCAGACCTCTGGTCCCTCCGTGCCCCTCCACAGGGCAGACGCAGGAAAAGGCAGGCGGGGGGAGCTGCACCTCTCCCACAGAGCATTTTGTGGGCCGCTGAGCCGGGGCTTGGTGTTCGGGCTAGGGGTGCCCTGTGGAGACAAACCTGCTCTCAAGATCAGAGCCGGCTCTGGTCAATGCAAACATGGATCAGTGTTAAGTCACCTGCTCTTTGGATCTTGCATGAACCCTTGTGTGGAGATTACAAACACATCCACCTAGTTTAGTGACAGACCAGAGCACCCACACCAGGACTTTCCATGTGGCTCGGCTCAGGCAGAATGCTATAGTGGGTCCCAATAGCTCATATTCACTAAGGACGTACCAGGTCATACACTTGAATGAGCATGTCCATGGATTAACTTCTTGAATCTTCACAATGACTTTGTGAGGTAGGTAAAATTATTCATTTCCAGAGGTTTGTTCTCCATAAAGAATAAAGAAAGACTAAAAGGACAAAGGATAAATGATTTGCCCAAAGTTGCTTCTGACATAAGTTAGAGTAAAATCTAACCAACCAACCACCCCAGGACCGTGCCTTAGCACTTAGTAGGGGTTAGGAAAATGTTAACCGTTATTATTAAATATTCATCTATACTGTCAATCAGCCGAGTAAGAACGATTCTGTGAGGGAAGTATCATCACTGTCTCTTCCATGTGAAGAAAACAAGGCTCTGAAAAGGCTTTTCACTTGCCCCATCATGTCCTCCCACAGTGGCCAGCTCTTCGAGCTACATCCCAGCGTTCATTCACGGTTCAGGCTGCCCGTCTGTGAGGTGAATCTCGTGGCCGCTGTTGCAGGCTGGTCATCTTCCCTGTCAGATATGGACAGGCCAGCATCCCAATTACATTCCAGTTATTCTCCCTGGTGCTATTCCCAAACCTCAGAAGATTTTTCAGAGAAGAGAAGACTTGGGTTTCTAGCCATAGAAAACTGTAGATATTTCCTTAATTTTGATTCGAATAGGGACTTAAATCTGGAACACCTGCCAGATTTTTTTTAATATTGGTCTTAACTTTTACTCTTTATTTTCTTGGGATTGAGCAAATATGCCTACCTAGCTCCAATCATAGCAGAGTTGAAATAACCTTCTGCCTTGAAGTATTTTAACCATGGCCAACCCTCCACCACCTTGCCTTCACTCTCTACAGTGAAATAAGATAACTCAAAATGCTCACAGGGGCTTAGCCCTTCTGGCCATATGAACCTTTCTCATCTACTGGGATCCGGGATCTCTTGATATAAAATGTGTAGAATTCCTGTTTGCAGAGCAAGTGAAACGCCGCTGGCGTATTTTTTTTTTTTAAATTATGTTAATCACCATACATCATCGCTGGCGTATTTTAAGGTTCACCCTCAGCTAGCAGGGAGAAAAATGTGTCCCCAGTCTGAATTCACACCAGGAACATTCTAAGGGTTCTGTATTGGTCCTGACAGCAAGCCTGCTGGACTGTACAGAAATGAGTGTTATCCTCTGACCTCTGTCGTCTTGGACAAGAGATTTACCTTCTCTGGGTATTGATTTCGTTCATGAAACCTACTCATAGGTGGTAATGGTACCAAGCAAGGCTAGACCCGAATGTTGGCCTTGAGCGTGACTGTAGAAGGATGTTGAAGTAGATGATGGCAGAGGCTGCTTTCAGATCTGTTGATAAGTGGAAGATTCTGTGAGTGGGATAGGTTGGTAGGGTTCTTTCTGTTATGTAGGTTCCGCTAGGACATGGTCTTGCTCTGTCATGGAACTGGGAGTCGCAGCAGGAAACAGTGATTAGTTTGGGGGTGTTCTCATCTACCCTCAGTAGTCTCTTCTGGCCTCACCCCTACTCCCACCACCCTCTGTGCTGTCCTTGACTTGCTTGCTGAACATTTCCACTGCAAAAGCCCTCTCCCCTGCAAAGCAAAGGTCAAAACGCAGCTAACCCAAAGCACTTTGAAGAAATAGACAAGATCTCAGCTCCTTGTCCTTTGGCTAGTGCAGCCCCCTAAGTTGAGCTACTTCAGATCAGATCAGTTTTTATTAAAGTGTTAATGTATTTCTCAGGGGGTGCAGTGTGCTGGCAGAACATCTGAAACCGGGTGCAGAATGAGAGTGTTGCATGCAACCGCATCTGCTTCACATTATGCTCTGCAGAAGACAAAAATACAGCCCTAGGAGTCTAAAAATACTTCCTAGTTGTTAGCCAAAAATACATTTATTCTTGGATTCATAAAAATGCAGGCCATGTGAAATATGTGGGGGGCATGCACTCTCACAAAAAAAAAAAAAATTTTTTTTGACCAAAGAAAGAGAAGAAAAAGTTAAACTTGAAAATCCTTTATTGAAATTAAAAGGAGAAGGTGGAAATGATAAAGCTCGGGGTATGACTGGGAAGCCAAACTGGGAAGGCTTTGCGCCCAGGGAAAAGACCATTTCTAATGACCAGGCTGCCTTCTGCTCACCAGACCCTGCCCAGGAAGGCCCTGAGCCCTGGGCCAGGCTCCACACTCTCATCACTTTGTGGGGACTAGGAAGGCTAGAGTCAAGGACCCATCCCAACCCCAAATCTCAACATTTTGGTCTGTGCATTGCTTCTCAAAGCTCCTGAGATTTGGAACCAGTTTTTTTTACCCCCCTCTAAGCCATGGGGAATTGATATTTTTACAAAAAACAGTAAGAATAAATTAATAAAAATAAAATTAGAAAGACATATAAAATGAGACCCCACTCCTTTATTACTATAGTCAACAGACATAAAATTACATTTCAAAATTACTTTTAAAAAGAAAAGAACTAAGGGCATCTGAGTGGCTCAGTCGGTTAAGTGTCCGACTCTTGATTTTGGCTCAGGTCATGATCTCAGGGTCATGAGATCGAGCCCCGTGTGGGGCTCCGTGCTCACTGGGGAGTCTGCTTGAGATTCTCTCCCTCTGCCCCTCCCCTGGCTCTTGCTCTCTCTCTCTTTTTCTCTAAAATAAATAAAATTAATCTTTTTTTTAATAAAAGAAAACTAGTATAAAAAGTTTCTGAACACACAGTCACAATATCTGTACTTATTTGACGTGGATCAGTTAGAACTGGGTGCCACACTTTGAACAGTACTGGTAATCAAAGAGTGTAGATCTGAGAGGTCTGCAGCCCAGCCCAGCTGTCCCAGGTGCTAAAGGCATTAATAACCATTCTGAGCCTCTTGGTGCTACATCTGCAAAGTAGGATGATACCTTCTTATAAGGACAAGGAAGGATAGTGGTAAAGTGCCTGGAGGGGTGGTGTTTAATAAATGCTACCCGGGTGCCTGGGGGGCTCAGTCAGTTAAGTATCTGACTTGGTCTCAGCTCAGGTCTTGATCTCAGGGTCATGAGTTCAAGCCCCACATTGGGCTTCATGCTCAGCATGGAGTCTACTTAAGAAAAAAAATCAAGGGGTCCTGGGTGGCTCAGTCGGCTGGTGAGCAACTCTTGGTTTTGGCTCAGGTCATGATCTCATGGGTGGTGAGATCGAGCCCCACATGGGGTTCCACGATGAGTGGGCTTCTGCTTGAGATTGTCTCTCTCCCTCTTCCTCTGCTCACACTCTGTCTCTCTAAAATAAATAAATAAAATCTTTTTTGAAAAATCAAGACATTAAAAAATAAATAAAAATAAATAAATGCTACCAGGACCTAACATTTCCATTATCTTCTAGGTTAGTTTCCTATTGCTGCTGGTAATAAATCACCAAAAATTTAGTGGCTTCACACAGATACATTGTCTTACAGTTCTAGAGGTCAGAAGTCTGAAATGGGTTTCACTGAGCTA